TCCTCCCTCCATCCTCCCTCCGCCCTCCCTCCATCCTCCATCCTCCCTCCACCCTTCCTCTACCTCTCCATTTATCCTCCCTCCATTAAACACCTACTGCCTGAGAATTGAGGGGAGTAGGTTCAGTTGTAGATGTTGGCATGATCCTAAAGCTCACATGGGGTTTGAGCTCTATTTTGTATGCTTGGAATTTTCTTCATGGAAGGTTTAAAGTGATTAACTTGGGTTAAGAGTGAGAATGTATGGGAGAATAAGAGAGGAGGGGTTCAGGTGTAAAATGTAAAATATAAAATAGTAAGGGGGAGATGAGGGTGGGGTTAGGGATGGTAGAGAGTGGAAGAAAGAGCTAGGGGATGGTAAGGAATGATAGGTGGTGGGGAGTGTTAGAGGTTAGTGAGGATGGTAGGTGATAGGAGAGTGTTAGAGGGTAGTGAGGGAGTGTTAAGAGGTGATGGTGGGAGTGGTGGAGGTGATGGACTGGGATTGTGGGGGAGTGTTAGGGGTTGTGGGGGATGAGAGGTTGTGGGAGAGTGGTGGGACTGATTGAGTGGTAGGTGGTAGTGCTGGGTGGTGGGAGATGGTAGGGGGTGTTGGGGGAGTGTTGGGTGGTGGGTGATGGTGGGGGGGTGGGGAAATATTAAAGAGTGGGGCTGGTTGGTTGTGAGGGAGTCGAAGCAGGTGGTGGGGAAGTGTTTTTTTTTTGTAGAATTGTGGTGGAGATGATGATTGTAAAGTGGGGTTGGTGGGTCTGTTCTGAGCCCTGGAGGACCAGGGAATGCCCACTGGAGCACTGGGCACAGCATGGTAGGTGAGATTGGAAGATGACCATTGAGGAGTGTGTGGCTTTGGGAGGGGCCATGGGTGGGCTGTTGAGCTGAATGAAGAGTTTTACCTTGGTGGGTCTAGTGGATGGGATGGTGGGCAGTGGAGGGCTTGGGCTTATTAGTTATGGACTGGTGGCTGTGCTGTGAGCTGTGATGTGGATTCAGGAAGGGGTCGGATGGGTATGGGGCAGGGAGTGTGTGATGAGGGGCCCAGGACGGTGGGGCATTCCGGGAGGGGCCATGGGAACAGAAGCTGGAGCTGGGCAGGAAGGGAGGGGTGTAAGGAAGCTTACCATGCTGTCCCCCCGCCAGCACTCAATATGTGCCTCCAGCCATTGGTCCCTCTGCGGACACAGGATAGAGTCAGACTCACCTGCCCAGCTGCAGCCCTGGCATCTGTTTCACAGATGGGAAGACTGAGTCTGGAGGCCAGGGCTCACCAGGGACCTGGGGTGGGACTAAGTCCAGGGGGCACCAGGGCTCAGCAGCTCCCACCCCACAGGCCCCATGGAGAAGCCCCCAGGCATCCATTGCACCTCATAGTCAGGAATTATGATGAGAAACAGCTTGTTCTCCCGGATCTGGAAGGCGGAGGAGGTGGGCAAGGCCTTGAGTGTCACCCGCTGACCCTCAGGGACAGAGATGGTCACCAGTGGCTTCGTGATGTTCTGATTTTCCTCCACTTCGACATGATTGTTACTGACAGAGCAGGCTATGGAGTGGAGAGCTGGTGTCTCAGGGCCCAGTGCCTGCCTTGTCCCCACTGCGGCCCAGTAAGTGGCCCCGCCCACTGTCTCCACTGTCGCACCTACCCTGGGCCTGGGCCTGGGTCCGCCAGGGGCCACACAGCAGCCCCAGCAGAAGGGGCAGCAGCAGTGGCCGCAGCAGGGTTTCAGCTCTCATCCTGGCAGCCGGCTGGCCGGGCGACCAGACCCTCTGGACGGCAGCACCGTCACTGGCAGTGACCTTCGCTCCCGTCAGGTACCGCCCACTTTATGACTTTACAGCCCGTTTTGCCAAGGGGGCTCCTGCCAGCCGACTGACCAGGCAACCAAAGGAAGGACACAGTGGGCACTGTCCTCAGTTGGACATCTCCCCCTCAAATGTTCAGATATTATTGGGGGGTGTGAAAGGGTACAAGACTGGGCCTGGGGGGCCACTTCGGTGGGGATGACATAGAGAGGCATTGGACAGTCTGAGGCCAGAGGGACTTGCTGGACAGAGGCAGGGGCTGGTTCAGGATGAGGTCACTGGCAGGGGCTGGGACAGGATGGGGGTCCCTGGCAGGGGCTGGTTCAGGATGAGGTCACTGGCAGGGGCTGGGACAGGATGGGGGTCACTGGGCAGGGGCAGGGCCTGGGGTGACATGACCCTTGGTCTCTGAGTCTGTCTCCTGCTCCTTCATCAGTTTGCACCCTGGCCCTCTTGGCCCCAGCGGTCCCTGCTTGTCTCTGCTCTTCCTAGACTCTCTGGGGACAAAGTTCCCAAGGCCTCCTGGGGCCTTGCCAGGTAGCAGGGCGGAAGGAAAGGCCCTTTTGCATGTGGCCACCACACCTGGCTTCCTGGACCCAGGCAGCTTCCTCTGGGTGGGGCTGGGCACAACTTGGTGGAGACCCTAGGTCTTCATGGAAGAGATCCTGCTAGAGAGGGTGTTCCTGATGTGTGTAAAGAAATCCTAGTCTCTGTGCGGGTGCTGGGAGCCCGGGGTGAGGGGTGGGGCTGCACCTCTCTAGGGTGGGAGAAGGGTGGGAAAACCCCCTGTGATTCACAGCCCCAGAAAATCCCCTGGAGGGCCAGCTGCAAGTCGGTCCCATGTGCTGCCACTGAGACCTACTGGCACTGGCAAAAGGCCAGGTGAGGCAAGGACTCCCTTAGCGATCACAGTCAGAGGCCCTGCTGAGGGGGGTGACTCAGAGCTGGCCCTCCAGGGAGTTTGAGCTGTAATGCATCGGGGAGGAGCCTGCCCATCTGTCTTCCGCGTCCTTAGGGATTGCATCCTGGGAAATCCAATGGGCTATTCTGCCCTGTCCTCTAGTGTGGCCCAGGGGGAACCGCTGGTGGCAGTGGGGTTTCTGCTTCTATCCCAGCTGGGAGTCACCATTCTGTTGATGACACAGGGTTAGCAGAGGGCATATCTAGAGGTGATGACCCAGTGGAGATTGCAGAAGAAACGCTATCACAGGTCGGTCACAATGGAGCAGAAGCTTGAGAAAGCCAAGGACCCTGGAAGCCCCTGAGAGAGTGTCGCCTGGAGCTGACTCCCTGGATATGATTTCCAGTCTCAACTGTGCAAATCATGCCTGCCTTCCCAGTGAAGCAGCACCAGCTTTGGGAGACAACTGTGGGCTCACAGTGTCCAGGCCACCCTGTCCACCAGTGTGGAGTCACTGTCATCCGTCCTTCCTGCCCCATCACTAGGAGGTCACCATTCCCATCCCTTCCTGTCTCTTCTCTGTGGAGTGACCGTCCCCTGCCCCTCCTGTCCACCTCTGTGGGGCCACAGTCCCCTGCCCCTCCTGTCCACCTTTGTGGGGTCACTCTCCCCTGCCCCTCCTGTCCACCTTTGTGGGGTCACTCTCCCCTGCCCCTCCTGACCACCTCTGGGGGGTCACTATCATCCATCTCACCTGCCCTATCTCTGAGGTGTCACCATCCCCTGCCCGTCCTTGTCTCATCACTTCAAGATCACCATCACTGTCCCTCATCTCCTTCCCAGATCACTTTTCTCAAACTGGGAACACCTGCCCTTCAGCAGCTGAGCGGAGACCCAGCGACCGGTGGGGACCGGGTTGGACCCTTGGTCTAGGAACTTGTCCCAGTCCTGTGTTCTGGCTGCACCACTCTTTCCTCCCCTAGTCTCCTCACTCTTGCCTGGGACTGGCATCCTGGTCCCCCACCCAGGCTCAGGGTGGTCCACACAGCTGCCTGGCAGCCAGCTCTGGAGCCCAGTGGCCTCTCACAGAGCTGGGCTCCTCTCCTGCACAGACAACCCCGTGACACAGTGGGGAAGGCCCGAGAGTTGGTGAACTGGGGTGCAGGCCTCCTCATTGTTGATGGACAGCGAGGGAGGAGACTGGCTGGCTGGCAGGCCCAGTTTTAGAGGCTGTCAGCTGGGGTCACCGTGTGGGATGGGTATCCCTGCTGGTCTTGCTCTCTCTGGCATTGCCTCTCAGCCGAGGACCCGGCCTCAGTGCCCCCAGACGCGCACACAGTAGTTCTGGACCAGGGTCTGAATTCCTCTTTATTGGTGCCCCACCTGTCCCTCCCGCTGGTGTCTGGTCCAGGTCAGGTCCCAGATGGCCTTCCTCCTCCAGCGTCACTAGACCGCAGGGATTCTTCTGTTGACACAAGTCTGGCTGAGGGGCAGCCGGCTGGAGACCAGGCCAGACCTCCTGTGGTCCTCAGGGGCGCCCTGCAGAGAGGGGCCATGTGAGCACTGGCTGGAGCCCCCATGGGGGAGGCAGGGGCTCCTGTGGTCAGTGCTCCGCACTGGGGGGCACCTGGGGAACACACTCTCTGGGCCTGCAGGATGGACAGGAGGGCCCACAGCACAGGGAGTAGAGGCTCTGGTCTGGTCAGTGTCGGACTCAAGGTCCTGCTCACTGACATTTCCCCCCACCCCAGTCAGAATGTCCCCTTGGAGCCTTGCAGGGTGGGTGGGAGTGAGGGAGCACGTCTCATCGGGGTGCCCCATCCCCAGTTTAGACACCCTCCCTCCCACTCTGAGCTGCCCCACCTTCCCCTCCAGGCTTTGGGGTGCCCTCCCCCTCTTGCTTTGGGAGGCTGGTGGCTCTCTCCCTCCCTCCCCCTCCCCCCGCCCACCACTTCCTCTCATAGTGCTCCCTCCGTTTCCAAGGCGACGCAGCTCCCTCTCTTGGGGGCATCGGCCGGCCTCCCGCTCCCCTTCACTCTGACCCCTGCTCGCCTCTTCCCTGTGCCCCTCCTCTTCCCTCTGCCCCACTTTTCTCTGACCCCCTCCCCCGCTCCTCCTGCCTCCGGAGGCGCCCCCCTCCGTGCTCAGCTTCCCTCTACCCTCCGGGGCACACCCCCTCACCTGCGCTTCCCGACCAGGCCCTGGAGCAGACGCTGCAGCCTCGCACCCTCCCGGAGACGGCTCAATTCACTGGTGAAAGTGCCATCCGAGTGTCGAAGGGCCCTAGGGCAAAGCGGGGGTCAGGGCTGCCCGGGCTCCCCGAAACAGCGGTTTATGGGGCGGTCACGGCTCACCTTGAGGGCACGGGGTGCGGTTTGCGGAGGGGTCACGGCTCACCTTAGGGGCTCGAGGGGCGCGGCAGGGACACCGAGCAGCAGGAGCAGTAGGATCACGGTGCGCAGTGGAGGGACCATGGCCACTTTGGGGCGCTCGCAGCAGGATCCAGGGAGCTTGTCTGCTTTATAACCCCAGGCCGGGCAGAGGCGGGCGGAGGGGCTTCCGCCAGGGCTCCCGGCTGGCTGGCGGGCACATCGATAGCGCAGAAGGTCAAGGCCGCCCCCTCAGCTGTCACCTGGCGGCTGCCTGTCCCATCCACCACATCCGCACTGGGATGCAGAAGCGCCTTGGTGGCGGGGTCTGGGAGGAAGAGGGACGCGGCATGGTCACCACTACGGTCTAGGCAGAGGGCAGTAAATGTGTGCCTTGGGAACCGTGACCCCCTCTTAGGAAGGCTCAGCGCTGGGGACCCAAGGGGCTCAGAGGTGGCTGGGGTCACTGTGACCCCAGAGGAGCCAGGAGTGCCAGGAGTGAGGGTAGACTCCGTGCTCTGTGGCAGGAACCAGTGGGCCATGGCCCTGGTGCCTGGGGAGGGAGCAGGGTGGCCCACTGGCCTCAGTGGACAGGAGGAGTGAGGACTGGTGGGCTCCAGCCAGCTCATCCTGCCGAAGACCTTTGAGGAAACCCCCAGACCCAGGTGTAAAATGAGATGCCCTTGGGAGGCATTTTCAATGGCTCTGTGACCTGCTTCCTTCCAGAATTACCGTACTAGAACCTGCAAACCCCAACAGAACAGTTCTCTTGGCTTCCATGTAAATATTCCGAACGACCAGCAGCAAAAGATTGAAACTGTCCAGAGCTTCACCTACTCGGACCCACAATCAACATCCTTGGTACCAGCAGTTAGGAGATCAGGAGACACATTGCACTGGGAAGAGCTGCCGTCAGGGACTTCTTCAGATTACTGGGGAGCAATGATGTCCATTTGAGGATTAAGGTGTATCTGATTCAGGCCGGTGGTCTTTCTGATCACTTGCTATGCGCCTAAGAGCTGGACAGTGAATACGGATGATAGAATTGATGCCTTTGAGATGTGGTGTTGGAGGGGAGCTCTGAACAGTCCTCAACGGCCAAGAGAACAGCAATGTCTTGGAGAGGGTGTGGCCAGAGTGCTCTTTGGAGGCAAAGATGACAAAGCTTCATCTCACAGATTTTGGGCATGATGCTAGGAGAGGCTATTCCTTGCAGAGACACAGCCTGCTTGGAAAAACGGAGGGTCAGAGAAAGGGTCAGACCCTCAAGCTGGTGGATTTCCACAGTGACTGCAGCAATGTCAAGATGCTGCTGGACGAGGAAAGACACTACACCTGGATGACATGACCACCGAGAGCAAGGAGGAGGACCAGGTGCTTAGCTTCTGGTCTCCTCAGTGTGCACCCCTTAAAAGCAAAATGATCCATGTTAGCTCTGAGGATGCCATCAAGAGCAGCTGACAGGGACCAAGCACAAATTCAGCAAACTGCTATAAGGTCAAGCCGCTGCTCTGGCAGAGAAGCTGGGCGCAATGGTGTCATTTCCCCTGAGGGCACTCCCCTGTGAGCCCCCTCCAGGCCCCTGCCTAGAGCATCTGGCAGCCTCAGACCTGCGCCTTGTGGCAGCGGCTACTGCGGGCTGCCCCCTTCCTGCCAGGCTGGAGAGACTGGGGGAAGCCAGCAGGGGGAGGGCCATCCCTTCATTCCAGTTGCCAAACAGCCCCCACCTCCTGGACCTTCCTCCTCCTCTATAACTCTGGCCATCCCAAATTCTTTTGATTTTCTGACTCCTCTTGGGTTGACAAGATAAAGTTCTCCCAGGGAGCACAGTTTAATGGGTAATTTTTTTTTAAAATTTCTTTTTATTTTAGTGTGTGTGTGCGTGTGTGTGTGTACCGTCAAATCAGATCTGACTGGTACAGAAGGAGATTGTCCCTCCTTCCCCGGCAGAGCATCTGGTGGATCTGAACTAAGGGTTAATTTTTTTAACGAGACCCCCAGTCCTAACCTGATCCTTCCCTTTCCAGGCACCAATTAATTTCATCTATAGTAGTGATTCTGTGCTTGTCTGTGAGGTTCTGGGTGTAAACAGAATGTTGTGGAGAAGACCCTCCCTACACCACTGGTCCCCCCCTTCCCTCTGGTCAGTGCCCACTTGTTTGGAGTCAGGACCATCCAGGAATATTTCATTTAAAAAAACAAATAAAGCAATAATAAAACGTCTCACTAATTTAAAAAAAAAAGAAAGGAATACACAGCATCAATGTACCAAAAGGAATGCCAATTTCAGGAAGCAGCATATAATCCAGAATCAATGGTAATAAAGGATGGCGTTCAAGCTGCCCTGAAGGGTTTGATGGAATGTAGTTGTTGTTGTTGTTATGTGCCGTCGAGTTGCTTGTGACTCATAGCGACCCTATGTACAACAGCCCTAAACTCCGCTCTGTCCTGTGCCAATTGCACTGTCTCTGACACTCCCATACTGATTATC